TAATATTACACCTATATGTCGTAATATTGCAACCTATATGTCGTAAAGGTTGTAATTAATTACGGCAGGCAACCCTATTCTAGGTACCCTTATGTCTAGAAAATTTTAGGCTAAAGATCTTGATTCCGGAGCCCAAATATTAACCAATCAAAATCAACTAAATTAAAATTCTTTTTAAAATTTTGAAATTTTTTAAACTTCTAGTGGAGATTTCCCAATAATTATTTGAACAATTTTAGTAAAACTTTTTTTATTTTGATTCTATGTATTTGTAAAATTAAAATAAAAAAAAGTTCATTGAATATGGTCTAGTGGTTATCAGGAAACTTTAGCTAAAATTTTAAAAAACTTGAAGTATCTTAGAAAAAAAATCTAAAAATTAGCAAATTTTTTTTAAATGATGATCTCTCAACAATAATCTATCCAAATTCAATAAAATTTTTTTATTTTTGATTCTGCGAGCTTTTAGAATTCAAATAAAAAAATTTATCAAATTTGAATAGATGGATGTTGAGAAATATTGATTAAAAGTTAAAAAAAATTTGACCGCGGCTTTTTTTTTACGGATACCTAAACTTTGAATGAAGATTACTTGGCGCTCACCTAATCAAATTCGATCAAAATTTTTTTATTTTAATTCTATAATCTCAAAGAATTAAAATAAAAAAATTTAATCAAATTTTGATAGGTAAGTGCCGAGTAATCTTCGTTCAAAGTTTAGGTATCCGTAGAAAAAAAGCTGTGGCCAAATTTTTTTTTAACTTTTATTTGATATTTCTCAACGTCTACCTCTTCAAATTCAATGAAATTTTTTTTATTTCTATAAATGCATAGAATTAAAAAAAAATTTTATTAAATTTGGATGGATGGTTGTTGAGAAATCATTGTTTAAAGTTTTGTAAAAATTTTAAAAAAAATGTTACAATAAAATTTTTTATTTAAACTTTAAACGATGATTTCAACAACCATCCATCCAATTTCAATGAAATTTTTTTTTTATTCTAATTCTAAAAATTTGTAGGTTTAAATAAAAAGATTTTAATGAATTTGAATATGTAGATGTTGAGAAATATCGATTTAAAGTAAAAAAAAAAAAAAAAATTGGCCGCAGCTTTTTTTTTTTACGGATACCTAACCAAATTCAATCAAATTTTTTTTATTTTAATTCTCTGAGATTATAAGAAAATTTGATTGAATTTTGTTAGGTAATCTTCGTTCAAAGTTAGAAAAAAAGCTGCGGCCAAATTTTTTTTTTAACTTTTGTTATCTCTCAAAATCCGTCTATTCAAATTTGATAATTTTTTTTTTATTTCATCATGCTGTAATCCTACAAACATGCAGAATCAAAATAAAAATAAATTCATTGAATTTTGGATAGTTAGGTGTTGAGAAATCATTTTTTAAAGTTTCAAAAAGAAAAAATTCGGATTTTAGATTGATATTTCAAGTTTTTTCAAAATTTCTAGCGAATGTTTCTCGATAACCATTAAACCAAATTCAACACTGTAAACTTTTTTAAATTTAATTTTACAAATATATAGAATCAAAAATAAAAAAAGGTTTACTAAATTCGATCAAATAATTATTGAGAAATCTTCGCTAGAAGTTTAAAAAATTTTAAAAGGGTTTTGATTGGAAAGGGTCTACAGTCCAGAATTTTTTGACATAGGTTTTTAACTCATACAGGGCAATCCCCAACCTGTCGGAATGCATCGGAATCATTGTTGAAAGGGCCGGAATAGATCAATTTTGCTAAAAATTTTACATTAATAAGTATTTTTACTATAGCTCCTGCTAACCAGTATAGCTAACCCAACCCTAACGCCGATGCATTCCGACCAGGAATTTCGGGGATTGCCCTGTAAAAATTAAGAACTCTTCACATAAAACCACAAATCTTAAATGTTTAGTATTTCTGATCGGTAACTTGTGTACGTATACGTATAAAATAAACCATTACAGTATATTTTTTAATATAAAATATAAAATTTACTACAAAAATTACATCCTTTTGAATACATACGTATCATGTACGAATTTGGGATAACTTGTAACTTTTATACAATACTGCAATATGCAGTGCCTTCAAGGGAAAACCTGTCATCGGGCTTCAATTATATTTTGTGTCTAGTCTCCTTGGTACAAGTATTGAACATAAACTGTATAAATCTTAACAAAAATATGATATACTCTGTATGATGAATGTTTTTTAGTTATAAATTAAGCCGCATAAATCACCTTAATTCACGTACCTTACAATGAATATGTTGTTAAACATTAAAAGCTCAGTCTTATGTATCCTCTTAACCGTTATAGTAGGCCTTATAATAATTTTTTTTCAAAGACCCTACCTTATCAATAGTGCAAGTAATTTAAATGATGTAAATAATGTTATTGTATCAAATCACGGAGTAAAATCGTTACAGATGCACTGATAGATGAACTTAAAATCAAGCCTAAAAATTTTTTGGAGTAGAAGCAAAGGCATTACTTAACGGGCTATTTAAACAAAATCAATTAGTTAAAGTGTATGTGACGTTAGGATATTGGTATGCTCGTAGCGAATTAATAAATGTTAAATTAAGATATGATGGAACTTTGTAGAATTGCGATATACCATGTATCTTTAACGATACATGCATGGAAAAATTAACGCTTGCAGAACTTAAATCTGCCGATGATCTTTTTTGTGTCGACGTCCTAAACTACCCGAAAAGAAAGCGTGGAAAGGACAGAAATTCATAAACGCATTGTCGGCGGTGTCACGACAAGGAGGAACTATTTGATATATTTGTAAAGATTTTTGAAGCTTCTGACGTACCTACAAGTTATAATCGATCTGATCCTTAGGGATGGCGAAAAACAACCCTTTTAATTTATCGAATCTCTCCTCAATCAACAATAGTATCCATTATCGCTACTCATTCAACACCATTCCGTGAAACTTGGATTCCAACACTTCAAACTCATCTTCTAGCAGCGTCTTTCGGTAAGGTTCACAAGAATAATTTAAAATGTTCTCAAAAAAAATTTAATTACTAATGTTCTCAAAAATTTTTTAATACTCGTTATATTAAATTATATTATGCATTTAATTTTTTAATAATGTTTATAATTTTATATTGATATTAGATATAATTTACTATAGTATATAAATTGGGATGGTAAATGACTTGAAATGACCTGATGACTCAAATGACAAATGACTAGGTAGTCATTGGTCATTTCGAATGTCTAAATGACTGAGAAGGTCATTTAACATACGTTAATTGGTGTTTTACTACTTTTTAATCAATAAAATTGGTTACAGGATAAATGCAAATTTTTATATAAAAAACATATTTAATAATCGTAACTCTTTTAAAAGTCAAATTTTATTAAGCTACAGTGCAGAATGTCTTAAATTAGCAACTAAAAACTAATAATTTTTTGAACTTTTATAAAAAATTAAAAAATATAGTTAAAAGAAAAAATTTTTTATAAAATATACAAATAAACAAGCAGAACAAAACTGTAGAGTTTATTTTTTAATACAGCAAAATTTTATAATGTTATTTTTTTAAAAAATTACTAATAAAATAAAAATTTGAATGCATATATATATAAAAAAACATAACAAATTTTTAAAAATATAATAAATTTTTAAGAAATTAGCCAATCATAATTTAGTATTTTGTCTTAAATTTGGCTATTTTAAAAAGTTGTTGCATTATAGTAATATTTATATCTTAAATAAAGCTTCAAAATAATAAATTGCATATACTCCAAAAGTTTTATATAATTTGAATAACTTTTATTAGGGGTTTCAAATTTAAGGTTCAGGTTTCTGATTTTGAGTTAAATTAGTAATACTTAATTTTGTAATCAGTGATCTATAATTCTATTTATTTTTATTTGCAAGCCTATTTATATAATAAGATATAATATATATTATCAAAAAAAGTTTGTTTATTTTGTCTTTAGACAACTTCTTTTTTAGTTTTTGATTCCAAAATTTTAAAACAAAAATTGAACTTTTAAACTCCTATTTATTTTCAAAATAAGTCAACCCCAAAACTCTATTAATTCACTTTTATATTTATGGAAGATTAAAAATTTTTTTAGTTAAATATAAAATGCAAAAGTAAATAAAGAGTTATTTAAATTAAATGAAACTTTTAGAGTATGTACAAATTGTTATTCCAAACTACAGTACTTAAAATATACTATAAATAATGATTAGCTTAATAAAACTTTAACTTATACTATGTATAAAGCTACAATTATTAGCTAGAAATCCAATAACTTTTTTAATAATCAAACCAATAAAATTATTTTATATACAAATAACTCAAATAATCTATTCCAAAAGAATGACAAACAGACATGAACAATAATTAATTGAAAATTTTTGTTCAATCAAAATCTCTACATTTCTTATACTTTATAATGATTAAACGTGCTTGCTTGATCAATTTTTTATTTACAGTTTAAATATTTAAATCATTGAAGCATTCTAAATAAATCAGAGATCAAGTACAAACTTCCACATAAAACTACAATTTGACTTTGTTCATCATAACTTGCAAATGTCTGATGCAGCACTTCATCTAAATTTTCTACAACTTTTGAATTCTAATGAATTTGCATATTCTAAAATAACTTGTGGATCATAACATTTAACCCAAGGCATCTCCTCAATATTCGTAAAACTCACTGCAAACAATGAATCACCATTTCTCATTAATAACTCAAGTATTTTCAAAATATCCTTTTCTTTTGTGGTGGCAAAAATTCAACAAACATTACAAGTCTTTGTAATTTCCTTATTTTGTAATTGTAATTGCTTATCAACATATTTTCTAAGTGCTTTGGCTGCAGATGGATTATATGCACCATCAACCAATACTTGAGATGTTTTTGATGATTTTATGATTTTAGAAACATCAACCCATTGTAACCTTTCTGGCTATTGTACACAAGCTATTCCATCCTTAATATGATTATTTGTTATTATTTACCATCTCTGCCCGTAAACCGTCCGTCTACATACCCTACCCTTAATTATGTGACGTGATTATCATACTGGGTTCCTTGATCTTCAATCTTCCCGGGTATTAATTTATTGAGAATAAATCTACATATTATATTAAATAATTACATTAGACCGATCAAATTATGAGCACTCATTATTATAGAGAAAGTGCATATAAAATGCACTTATAGTATATTTATCGCAACTATAAATTATGTGCTACATTAAGATGCGCATTAATTCGAGACCATATAAGCTATTTTTGAAGAACTTGGTTTCCAAAATAACGTCTACAAGCATTATTTCATGCTTATATTTAATTAACTGCTTAATTTGTAGCATGAACTAATTATGTACTAATTGTAACCTCATTTCAGAAACAAGCATAATGATAAGAAATAAACATGCTA